CGCGGTGGAAATCCTAACGGCTACGACGGCCGTATTCCAGCATTATTGTAAAGTGTTTGCATTGGGTTATCCGGCGCATCATGCGGGGCCCCTACGACGAGTAACAGAGACGGAAGAGAAATGGAGATATGAGTTTCGTAATATATCGTGATGGGGGGACTTTCTTTCGTATAGCCGGCCGAGTTCCGATGAACTAGGGTCGTCGGCCGAGACATATCTACCAGTGCTCAGGACGAAGATTATGAGCTTTAGACACTCGAGGGAGTCTGTTCAGGTTAATATTGAACGCGAAATCACCAACGAGCTATTTGCAGTGACCCCTAATGACACGAAATTCTACGAGTCAACCCTCAGTACGCGCCTTTACTTTCTCCTGAGCATATTGGTCGAGTTTGGGCAATAAATAGTACGCAGGCGGAAAGGTTCGGTGTTATTTTTATTTAACTAGATCAATTGTATATCTAATTGTGAAGTTAGCAGCTAGGGTCAATTCGATGTCACAGTAGATATCATAATGTCAATCACATGTTTGTCGGCTAGAGATGCAGCTGTCTTCTAGAATATCTGTGGACTTGATCTTGAAACAGATCGTAACATCGGAGCTAGCTAAGAACCGACGAAGTGGGATAACTGCATTGGGTGGGTACATTACGTACGTGTTACCTACCTCATAATTTCAAAGTGTCATCGTATTCGCGTGTCACATAGATGAAACATTACGTAAAGCACATTGCGCACCTGAAAGCACCTGGGCACTGAAATAGTAGGGGTAGAATGTTGTATTGGTAAAGATTCTACTACTCCACTTTTAAGTGGTAAAAATCTTATATATGCCCCTCATTATCATTGCTCCTTCCTACACCCGGCCACACTCCCTGGGCGAGTTGTAACACAACAACTCGGCCACACACACACAAACAAGCATCGAACTTCCATATATCTCTTCCCAATCATTCCTCATCTCTTTCGACAGAAGTCAATCTTCTTCATCTCTCATGTCCACTTCCACACAACTCTCTACCAAGGCATGCCTATCCCTTCTCCAGCATTACACTATGCCTCCCATCTCTCCAAATACTATCCCAGCTACCCCCAGTGACCCCGTTACTCGTGATCCTTCACTCACACGGTCGGACAGTTTGTCGTAGACTGCAAGACTAGTATTCTTCGTGTGCCTAGGTAGGCCATAGGTAGCGTTTCCGGTGATTACAAGTTGCTCGGACTCAAGAGGTTGAAAGCAGGATTTAATGATTGATCAAGTGTATCTTATGCCATCTTTCAGAGTAGGATAGAAATGCCAACAAGGTGGTAAGAATGTGTACTTCTGTGTCTAGAACTCCGCGATGGGACAACCAACGTAGGTAAGAATGTTGCAGCTCTCACCATGAAATAGTAGGGGTAGAATGTTGTATTGGTAAAGATTCTACTACTCCACTTTTAAGTGGTAAAAATCTTATATATGCCCCTCATTATCATTGCTCCTTCCTACAGCACCTGAAGTAAGGTGTCCTTACCTATGTAAAGAGGCACGCAGTAGAAGGTAGGATGATGCTAAATAAAGCTAGCTGCGCAGGGGGACAAGGGGAAAACATTTTAGCGTATCCCTATCTAGGTCGTTCTTCACCTTTTAAATCGGTTCAGCTGAAGCAGGAAAAAAATGTGAGTGGAAGATTGGAAAGTGCCAACTGAAGCCGGACTGCGGCTAGGGTATCCCGTATTTTGTGTTATCACTAATCGTACAAGCCACGCAACCTCTCCTTTCACCTTTCTCTTAACTTTCATGTTGCTTTTCTTTCGAGGATCGAGTTCCCCCATTGTGTTTTCTCTCACGGTCAAGACTTTAATTCCGTCCTTTTTTTGTGTGGGAGAATGTTCTACGTTTGTTGTCTTTGACCGAATTTAATCTGTTCTCTTCAGGACCCTCATTTTCTTGACCTTTTCTTTTTTTCTCTTTTCCGGAAGTCCTCTTTCACACCAAACCCCTAACACTCGTTCCACTATCTACTCCCCCCCCTCCCATTTCCACCTTTCTCCTTGGAGAACAGGGCTGAGAGATAGTCTGCAATCATGGCCGATAACAAGGCCGCAGTCGCGTCTGGCGCTGATCCCGCCGGCGATGCCGCCCGCCGACGTATCGTACCCGGGGCCACTGCCCCTGGAGCTCTAGCGCAGCCGGAGATCGACGAGAAAAAGATACATGGAAAGAAGAAGGTATAGGCATTATACATGCGGCAAGTCTTTATTAGACCACTTGCTTACTTCGATGTGTTTAGGAGTCTTCGTTCCTCGATATACTCGACCAGTGGGAATTCATCATTGCGCCTATAATCTTCACTGCCTTTGCTGTCTTCACACGTCTATGGAAAATTGGTCTCAGCCCAATTGTCACTTGGGATGTAAGTTTAATAGTCATTATGTACTTCTAGAATGTCTGCTAACAGCCTCAAAGGAAGCTCAGTTCGTCAAGCCTCCCATTCGTTCTTTCACCGCAACGCTAACTCGTGTCCCTTTATAGCTTCGGTAAATTCGGATCCCACTACATTAAACGTGAACTATTCTTCGATGTGTTAGTACGACCAGAACCCTCGGTTGGAATGTTATTTTTAATACGTGGAATAGGCACCCTCCTCTTGGTAAAATTCTTGTTGGTCTCTCCGGAGTTCTAGCAGGTTACAATGGGTCATTCGAGTTCAAGTCTGGCGAGACATACCCCGAGGAGCTTGATTATACCTTCATGCGAGCTTTCAATGCCTTCTGGGGAATATTATGTGTGCCATTGGCTTACTACACTGCCAGAGAGCTGCAGTTAAGACGACCTGCCGTCTGGCTAGTTACGCTGATGGTTCTGTGTGAAAACTCGTACACGACTATCAGCCGATTTATTCTGCTCGACTCTATGCTCCTCTTCGGCACCGTATCCACCGTCTTCTGCTGGGCCAAATTTCATCGCCAGCAAAAATACAGCTTCGAGCCCGAATGGTTCTTCTGGCTATTTATGACGGGGTTAAGCTTGGGATTCGTATGCAGTATCAAACTCGTTGGGCTCTTCGTCACGGCTCTCGTCGGCATCTACACGATCGAAGACCTTTGGAACAAGTTCGGTAACACTAAGATGCCAGTCGTAGTACTCGCTAGCCATTTCACTGCCCGAGTCGTCGGTCTAATCGTCATTCCGCTACTCGTCTACATGTTCTCCTTCGCGCTTCATTTCGCCATCTTAACCAAGAGTGGTCCGGGAGATGCGCAGATGAGCTCCCTCTTCCAAGCCAATCTAGAAGGCAGTGAAATTGGACGGAACTCTCCCCTGGAGGTTGCCTTTGGCTCTAAAGTGACACTTAAGAATATGGGATACGGTGGTGGTCTACTCCACAGTCACGTTCAGAGTAAGTATCTGACGTTTCATCGTATTGTCCAATTTATGCTAAACTATCATAAGCGTTCCCCGAGGGGTCTACTCAACAACAAGTTACTTGCTACCACCACAAAGATGCCAACAACGAATGGTGGTTCTACCCTAACCGTAGCGACCGCGACTATAACCCGGAGGAAGAGCCTCGATTCATTGGAAATGGTGATGTCATCCGCTTGATTCACGCTCAGACTGGACGAAACCTCCACACTCATGATATCTCTGCCCCTATTACCAAGAGCCAGAAGGAAGTGTCCTGCTACGGTAATCTTACCATTGGTGATGATAAGGACCACTGGCAAGTCGAAATCGTCAAGGACGTGTCTTCCCGCGATAAGAGCCGTGTACGAACTTTGACTACTGCTTTCAGGCTTCGGAATCCAGTTATGGGCTGTTATCTCCGAGCTGCCAATGTTAATCTTCCACAGTGGGGTTTCAAGCAGATCGAAGTGACCTGCGATAAGAGCAACAACCCCCGTGATACTTTCACTCACTGGAACGTTGAGGCCCACACCAACGAGAAGCGTAAGTTCTATCAAATAGATGTCCGGATATCCAATTATTAACCAAATCACAGTTCCCCCGGGAGACCCTGGCAAGTATAAGTCACCGTTCTTCCACGACTTTATCCACTTGAACGTTGCTATGATGACATCTAACAACGCCTTGGTGCCTGACCCCGATAAGCAAGACGACCTGGCTTCTCAGTGGTGGCAGTGGCCCATTCTGAACGTCGGCCTGCGTATGTGTGGATGGGATGATAAGATCGTCAAGTACTTCCTCCTCGGTAACCCCTTTATTTACTGGGCCTCGACGATTTCTCTAGGTGCCGTCGGTTTAGTTACTGTTTGGTACATCCTCCGATGGCGACGAGGTTTCACCGATCTTACCCAAGATGATATTGATCATATCCACTACGCCGGGCTTTACCCCATCTTGGGATGGTTCCTTCACTACCTTCCCTTCGTTATCATGGCCCGAGTTACCTATGTTCACCATTACTACCCAGCATTGTACTTTGCGATCCTAAGTTTAGGATTCCTAGTCGACTGGCTTCTGAGGAACCAGAAGAAGGTGGTTCAGTACAGTGTCTACGGGATCCTGTACGCCACCATCATCGGCCTTTACATCTTCTTCATCCCCATCTGCTGGGGTATGACGGGCAGCAACCAGAAGTACAAGTATATGAAATGGTTCGACTCTTGGCGTATCTCGGATTAAGGGCCGGATCAAGTATAGGGGACGAAGAGACGAACCGAGGTTAGGGTAGGCTGTTTAGCCTCGGGGTGTTATTCATATAGAGCATGGCCATCCGGACTATCTGGTTATATGGGCCATCGACAAATCTCCATCTCCTCTATTTTCCTGGTTGTTTGATGTAACGATATGAAGGGAAACTTGCATGAAAGGGAATTAGAGAGTGGAGTTTACGGTGGTAACGTGGATGAGGCATACTGGGAAACAAAAAAGACTACTCATCAGCAGCATACCGCTTTCTAATACAATGCCTATTTTCCTTTTCTTTCAAGAAATATTTGGTCCTTCGCAGTAAATCACGGTGTCTGATGAAGGAGTTTAGAAACAGTTCCAGTGAAGTGCCATCTTATCGTAGTTGATGTTTCAAAGTAGACATTATTACGTAGGGTATCATCGAATGCGTATGCGATGCCTCCAGCGTGTGCAAGTATATGTACAGTACAGTCGCAAACCCGGACCTGACCTTAGATGGACGTCTGGTGCTCCTGGTCAAACTCCCCTATGTCTGACATGATATCTGCCGATACACGTAACCCAAATTGCTAATTCCTTTCCATTTCTTCCCTCTCTCCTTTATATTATCCGATCCGAACAACTACCTAAACTAACAACAGCCGCCCGTCATGCCCCTACCCGCGTCGGCAGATAACCGGACGTTCTTCGCGCCGCCGGGCCCAGGCCCCTTGACGCCGGAGCGGCGATCGTTAAGGTCGTACTTGCCGGCGTTGATGTTCTCGAAGATGCGCTCGGCGACGCGCATAAAGGCGTCCTCGACGTTCTCGCCCGACTTGGCCGACGTCTCGACGTACTGCAGGACGCCGTTGCGACGGGCCCAGTCGGTGGCTTCTTGGGTTGTTACTTCGCGCTTGTTAGGGGTGTCTTCGTCTTCGGAGGCGGGCTGCGCTTGGTCTAGCTTGTTCCCGACTAGGATTACCACGATGTCGGGGTCGGCGATCGCGCGTAGGTCGTTTAGCCAGTCGGTTACGTGGGCGAATGTTGAGCGTCGGGTTATGTCGAAGACGAGGAGGGCGCCGGAGGCGCCGCGGAAGTAGGACCGGGTTACGGATTTGTACTAGAGAGGAGGAGGGTGGGTTAGTGGGTTGTTTATTTGTTTGCTTGTTTGCTTGCGCTGGGTATAAATGGTGGAGAGTTGTTGGTCATTCGACAACTTCCAAGCTCTCGAACTTCTCGTTCCGATGCTAGATGGGATGGGTCGCGTAGTACGCACCGTTTCTTGTCCCGCCGTGTCCCAAAGGGAGAGTTTCATGTGCTTTTGCGGTGGGGAGGCGCGCGGGGGTTCGGGAAGGCCCCCGTCGGCCGCGGAGGATGTGGACGAGCGTTTGGAATGCGGCGGGCCAACCGGGACGATCCTAGAGCCGAATTCCACGCCGATGGTGACGTCGTGCTGCGGGCTGAAGCGCCCCTCGCAAAGCCGGATCGTGAGAGACGACTTACCGCATCCCGAGTCCCCGATGCAGACGAGCTTGGCGATGTAGTCCCAGGGCGGGGAAGACATTACAACAAAAGTCGCAAATCGGAAAGGAGACGAGACAAGATGAGGGTTTGTCGTAACGATCAGTCACAAGACCCGGACCGGCGTAATGGATGTGGAAAGAGAGGGAGGGCGCTTCGTTGTAAGCCGGATGTGTTTCTTTACTACGGCAAGGGAAAGGAAACCTAGGCGCTATCAAGAAAGAATTAGTTTCAATGGTTTTGGCTAAAGAGTAATTAAGGGTCCAAGACAAGACTATAGTATAAGCACGTGGAGGGAAGCAGAGACAAGTCGCTTAGGAATATCAGGTAGGTTTACCTTACATAGGGTGTAAGCTTTGAGGACAAAGAAAGGTGATATGTTATCATGCAAGTGATAAAGGAATAATGTACTATGTAGTTAGAATATAGTGTAAATGTCCAAGGCCATAAACGGCATACCATTTCGATGATGTCGCCTAGGATCAGCTTTAAACCCGCCTAAACGTTCCGCCTGCGGGTCGGGCAAGCTTCCCCCCAGCCTATCGATAATGTACGCCGATGGGTGCGACGGATGCTAACTCAGGTACGATATGTAGGTTATGTAGGTTATGTAGGTACTTACAAGGCTCCTATTAACAGGGGTTTCGCCATCGGTACTTAGGAGTCTGGAGCACCTGGGCAGCGTCGATAGCGCCTGATTAAGGGTGGATGACCTCACCTCGTTAGACACCTGGTATTCAACTAAAGGCTCGTGACCGGAACTTGCACCAGATGTCCGCATTTCATAAGAGGTCATATCGGCCAATGGAAGAGTTGGTGACTTTTTCTTTTTCTTTTTTTTCCTACGGACATCTTGGCACAAGATCTATATTAATTCTATTGACGAGATGATTCGTCGTATAATACTTAGGCAACTATGCTAGTTACGCACCTGAATGCCCGTCTATCTTATCTTCGATAAGCTGGTTTAAGTCAAATACAAGTGGTTGGATAGCTGCAGGGTCCCCTTTACATAGCAACAAGTTGGTGGGACTTGTTACGCCGCGGCGCAGGCAACGCTTGCCCGCTACATATGTAGATGTATTCCGTTTTGACCGCTTCCGTAATAGATTTCTATATAGTGGGACTACCTATGTAAGTCCGGATAAGCAGGCAGTTGTACATACTGTACAATACAATCGCACCTACCTTAGGTACATCTCAAACTAGGTACTACATAATAGATGCTAAATGAGCATTGGACGCCTGCATGTGAGCAATCCGGGAGTCATCCATCAATCCGTCCATCTGCATCACTTCTCAACGACGCTGCTGCCGTCGACCCCCCCAACAGCTTCTACTAATTTAATTTTACCGTATACTTCTTCAAACCCCATCTTTCCCACAGTCCAATATTCAAATTCCATGTTTAGTACCTTGGTTTTTCCTTTATTGGCGGGTTAAATCATCCCGGGTTCTTAGTTTATCATAAGCATTCAAGAAAGTCGTATTGTTTGCATCACCGTGCTATCGTCACCGCTGATTAATTTGCTTTTTTTCTCCTCAAATCCCGCCTAACTCTACCCGACGTTCCTCGTCCCCATCTTCATCGTAATCTGCGGGAGTCTACCCCCTCCTGCGCCTTGATCGAATATGTTCTCAGAATGTAAGTTGTGCTTCTGCCTATTGACTTATAAGCTAAGTCTGACGTCTTGGCCCAAGATGCGTCTAGGTTCCTAGCCCAGTCGCAGTCCCGGTTATCCAATTTCGGTCAGCCGGACAACAACAACAACGAACTCTCGAACCGACAACCGCAGACGACACCAGGTCGATTCTCAGGTAGACATCCCGCACGGTCTTCGTACCAGACCCGACTAGGGAATCCTTATCAACCCTCGAATTCGCGGTTCGGAGGCTTCTCGAGGTATAATACTACCTCGGATGCCCCGCTCTTTCACAGTGCCTTAAACGAGTACCGAGAAGACGAGGATGAGGACGATGCGAGAGAAGCTGCGGATCTTCGGGCCTTGCAGCGGTCGCGTCGGGTTTTTGTCTCAAGCCGCCTGGAGGAGAGCTCGGCTTCGGAGAACGATGACCTTCGCGCCTCGTCCGAGCACGATGAGAGCGAGTCGTACGGGAACCTATACTCGAGCGCTCGTCCTATAGGTGGTATCAAGAGCAGTTGGAACGGGGAGTCGAGCTTCAAGGACAGACATTCAAAGCGCGAAGTGGTCAAAGACCCAGACGGGCCGGGTAACCCCCAGCATCAGCGGCAGAACTCCGATACGGATGAGAGTGGAAAGATGGTCGATATCGGCCTGGAGTCAACGGTGTTAGATAATGAGGTACCTGACGATCTCTTACAAGAGACTCCTACAGACTCGGCACCACCCGCATTTCAGCAGTTCAAGTCTGGGTCGAGTGGTCCAAAGGGCGTAGCCGGACGGAGAGGCTCGAATCTGGAGCATGATCAGCGTCTAATGCGACAGGCTATAGCGGAAGAGGACGAGACGGAGGAAGAAGAGCGAAACGAGATTCCTGCACCTACGCCCACGCGAATGTATGGCGAGATCTTTGTGCATGACCAATTCTTCGCATGGATCTACCTTATAGCCATCGCTTCCCTTTTCGCGACCTTCGTATTAGTCTGGTTGCATACATCTGTGCCCGGCAGGAAGATTGGTGACACCATATACACGACACTCCATTCGTCTTTTTACCTCTTGGCTGTAGATACGTTAGTCTCAATCATCGTTGCCCTAGTTTGGATGGCAGCGTTACGGTCTTTTGTTCAGCCCTTAGCTCTGCTCATCCTACTAGGCGTCCCGATCGTCCTCTTCTCATTTTCGTTGTATCCGATGATTTCCAGCTTCCAGGGACCAGACCACGGATCGCGAGTACAGGACGTGGTAATGAGATATGCAGCCATCATTCCAGGGGCCTGCGCAATCGTTTGGGTATGGTTATTATATAAGGGACGTCACGAAATACAGAGGGCGGTTGACATATTGGACTTCTCTAGTCGCATCCTTGCGGCCAATCCGGCGTTGGTGCTTCTCGGACTCGGTTCGTTAAGCTTCGTTGTTGGGTGGACGTGGATATGGCTATGGATGTTCACAAGAATCTTCCTCGGGGGCTACTTTTCTAAGTCGCTTTCGGCCTTTGTCATCGGCACTGCGACGTGGTGGTTGGCGGTCTTTTTCTTCCTCATGTACGTTTGGACTCTCTCCGTTATGAGCGGAGTTGTTCGCGCTACTACCGGAGGTACCGTTTCGAACTGGTATTTTTTCCGCAACAATCAGTCGTCCGCCTCGTCGAATGCGATTGTCAAGGGTGCGCTAGGACACTCTATGACTACGGTATTTGGCACCATTTGTGCCTCGACCGTACTATCCTTGGCGGTCCGAATTCCTATTTTGATCCTACCTCGTCGGATCTCGAGCATCTTCGAGTTCATAGGATGGCGACTGGCACCTCGCCCGGTGTCAGTCCTAACCAACCCTCTGGCATTAACATATGCGTCGATTCACTCATTACCCCTAATGGAATCGGCGTCACAGCTTAGCAGGATACAGTTCCTTGCCACAGGACCCACTACGACTCTTACACCGAGCGCATTCTCCCGACGTGGGCAGTCATCAGCATCGTTAATGCCCTACAGAATGGCAAAGATGCTTCTCCATGCCGCACGGTTCGTCATGTCAACAGCTCTGGGTTTTGCGGCATGGGTTATGACCGCACGGCAGTTGCAGGTTCAAATACCAGAGGGTCACGGCATCAGAGGGAGCGCGTACGCGTACGTGGTTGGTATGGTAGCTAGCATGATCGGTTGGGGCGTGTTAGGGGCAATGGAAGGTATTCTTTCAGGCATCCTCGACGGTGTTCTTATATGCTACGCTAGCGAAAGGCGGCTAGGTAGCGAGCGGGCGACTTACTGCATCGAGGCGGCACGGTTATTCGAGGAGAGGAGATATGATGAAAGGGATATGGTTTAATGGTATTTTCTAACTACACACATTGCACTTTTAGCTTCGGCGTTAGCGTTAGGCCGCCAACGATGGCGGATAGGAGTCACGAGATTGGACATGCTAGAATTAAAGATTACGGGGAGTATTTCGCTACATAGCTACTATGTCGGCGGTGCGCTTCGTGTCGCTGCTTATGACATCGTTGGGTCGGTTCGTCGAGAAGCGGTGGGTTTCGCATTCGTCTTGACTAGCCAAAACTGGTTCGCAAGAGGCCAGAGCACTGGGGACTCGTCCAACGATAAATAAGAATGGTAGAATATTAGAACCGAGCTCTCTGGCTCTTGAGACTCTTGTTAGGTCGTAGGAAATGTGAGCGTTTTATTACACTTTACCTGCTCATCCTTCTTTGCTCCTAAACCACAACTCTTAAGTAGTACCTAAAGTAAGTAATAACTTGCTTACTTGCTAGCTAATGCGACGACATCATGACGGTCGAAAACGACGCGAGCGAGCAACCTCGCGAGGGGATCCCCAAGCGTGCCGTCAAGCCTACCTGGCTGAGAGCGCAGCCTGAGTATATTTCATGGAAGGGTATGATGTCTCAGACAGGTGAGTGTACATACCTACATATATAGTCCTCTACGATCTATTCGTTGTCTTGTGATTTGGGATGGGGAACTGATTGATTGATTGATTGATTGATTGATTGATTGATTGATTGATTGATAGAAGATTCGAAGGAACCGGCCGAGGAACAGCACAATACTTCCGAGGACGTTAAAACCGAAGATAGCGACTGGGAAGATATTTCTCGACGTGAGGTCAATAACTGTAAGGATAATGTCTTTATTTTCCACCTTGCTTTCTCTGCTACTCACATACTTACCTACTATCTCCATCCATTCCTTGCCCTCGAAAATCAGGCTTCCTATCTCGCTCTCTACCTTACCGTCTCTGCCCGCCTCCCAACTCACAAGACGGCAACCCTTCTATACCGACGTATACTAGATGGTCAAGAGTCAGTCTAACCAGTCAACCCTGTCAAGGCTCCTCCGACTACTACGGCAACTACATCAAAGAGCGCGCCATCGAACAGGGCGAATGGCTCGCCGTGAGCGAAGTCCCCATCCCACAGTCCACGGAGGAGTGGTTCAAACCGCCCCCCAAGTCCCCCAAAGGCAAGCGTTCTAGTACTAGTACTACTACTACTACTACTACTACTACTACTACTTCTACTACCACCGCCGCCGCCGTCGCAGCTAGCAACAGCAACAGCAACAGCGGCCACCGCGTCAAGGGCTGGGTACACGGCGTGCAGAAATGTCTACGACCTGAAAAACGTACTCCTTCCCCCGAGACCAGGATCAGCGACGAGGCGTACGTCGAAATCAATACGAGCGGCGAGTCTGACACCGACACCGACACCGACGCCGACGACTGGTTGCCGCTGCCGCTGCCGCTGCTCCAGAAACGCCCGGATACGCCGCTGCCGCGGGGGTTGTTGCGGGTCGGTGCGCAGCAGCAGAGGCGCGGGGGCAGAGGTCGGGATAGTCCCTGGGCTGGGGGTCTTCGCGAGTCGGCGAGGCAGCGGGGGTCGGGGTGTACTGTTTTTTATGCGCCGATGTTGGCTTGATTGGGGGAGGGCTTTGAGTAGGAGTGTATGGGGGATGTAGGTATGTGGACTTTTAGTCTACTATACAGACTGGCTATACACTATACACTATAAGCTTGGGAGGTCTATCTATCTATCTATCTATCTATCTGGCTGGGGAGTGGGCAATGGGCAATGGGTATATACTCTAGGTATGGTTCTTCTGGGAACTGGGTTACCTACTTGGAGTTGGGGTTATTCAATGTGTTATTGGATACTTGACCATAGCCTGGAGCAGATAGTTTTTTCTTTTTTCTTTTTTTTTAGGAATATAACGGTCGCCCCCGTTATCTTATAGTAACAGAAATAGCCGAGTTTCATATGAGTATCGAGTGAATCCACTTCGCTCTACTACACGAGCTTAAGAGGTAGCCAAGTCATGACTACCGAGGTTTTTAGACTAGGCCCCGTGTTATTGCCATCGTGGCTCGGAACTCGCAATTCGTAAGCTGGCTAACATTACTCAAATACCTATGCGAAGTGAAAGCAGGGACCCGTGACATTGTCATTGTCATTGTCGGTGCCGGTGTCGTCAGCTTGGTCCTTTACAAGATATCGTAGGTACTTGTAAGTCCAAGACAAGACAAGACAAGACAAGAGCTCAGCCACACTTCGCTTGGATGGTGATTGGTTGTAAGTGAGGTCTCCAGTAAGAGAAAGGGGTCAAGGGGGCAAATAAGAAGTCACTATCGGTTACACAATCGACCCGGGGGAGCTAATAAGGTACTTATAAGTACAAGGAGAAGTAGAGACGATTATCGGCTTTACAGTTGCCGAAACTGCGAAGTTGGAGCTAATTGGGGGCAGTGCTTAGAGTTATACATACACTCGCTCAAGTACAATTGTATATGTCATGTCAATGTACCTTTTAACTTACATGTATGTACCTACCTGTAGTATATCGCCTCACCTCGTCAAATCATCTACCCGTAGCAGAATCTAGAATCGCATTTAGACAGAAAACCGCAGTAGCCACCCTGCAAGCCTGTTACTATTTATTCTTATTACCTACCTAAGGTAGCTGACGAAAGACTTCCTGCAGTAACACCAACTAACTTATTTCTCTCACGAAGCAACCTAAATTAAATACTTGCATCTCTACAGAACATCCATACATTTAGTTACTCTCCTTCTCCTTCGCAACATCAAAACCCCTCCTCACCTATCATAAGGACCCCGCTTCCTCGTGCAAGTAGATCGATCAACCGATCAACCGCTGAACACTTCACACCTCCATATTAATAATATAGACAAATCAACTTCAGCTTCTGCACGCATGGCTGATTTCACTGCTCCTTCCGGCCCGCCGCCTCCCAAGGTCCCTGATGGTTGGGTCGCCCGCTGGAACGATCAATACCACGAATGGTGAGTTCCTATCTAACTCCTCATCCTCTGATGTCTCATCAAACCGCTATCTTCTAACTCGCTCTGCTCCCTCTAGGTTCTACGTTAACACCTACACCAAGAAATCACAATGGGACAGACCTACCGAGCCAGCCGTAGACCCTAACCGCCACGATGACGGCGCGCCCCCCGGTCCTCCTCCGGGCTACACGCCAGGCTCCGGACCCTCGCCTACCGACTCCAAGAATAACCCCTTCGTGAACGAGTCAACGAAGCCTGGGTACGGATCTAGCTCACATGCGAACGAGGACGCAGACGCTCGGTTGGCCCGCCAGCTACAGGAGGAAGAGAACGCGCGCACTAGAGGTGCCGCCCAGTCCTACGCTAGCACACCCACACCGCCCCAGGGCTATTCGCCATATCCCGATCAGCTGCCTCCGCGCTCATCCGGCGGCAGCAACCCTGCCGACAAAGCAAAGGGCCTGTTAGGCAAGTTCTTCGGCGGCGGCAAGAACAAGCCGCACGCCGGGTACCCAGGCCAGCAGCAATACGGCGGACAGTCGCAATACAGCCCGCAGCCCCAACAACCCTACGGCGGATACGGTTCTCCCCCTCCCCCTCAGCAAGGGTACTACAACGGTCCTCCACCTCCACAGCAATACGGCGGCTACGGCCCGCCTCCAGGCCAGTACGGCGGATACCCTCCCCAAGGCGGTTATCCTCCGCAGGGCGGGTACTACGGGCAGCAGCAACCGCCTCAGAAGAGCGGAGGCGGCATGGGCATGGCGGGAGGCGCGGCGCTGGGTGTAGGTGCGGGATTGTTGGGCGGTGTGCTGATTGCGGATGCGATCAATGATGAGCAGCAGGAATCGTATGCGGAGGGCTATCAGGACGGCAATGATGGCGGCGATTACGGCGGTGGCGACTTTGGTGGAGACTTCTAGACGCTGCGTTGCGTTGCGTTGCGTTGCGGTATGTTTTAAAGCAAATAAGCATACATCGAATGTTTTCTTCGCGTTTGTTTTTTATCATCAGCTCGGGTGAGGGACGATGATAGGAAGGCTATGCGGCTCGGATAAGACAGACAGACAGACAAGACTCATACTAGGCATTAGGAGGCGTTGATTATGAATGACAGCAAGAATAATAGTAAGGACAATATCGAGAAAGGAAGGGATAGGGAGAGAACTTGAAGTCGAGATCGACTCGATGCTTGGGTCTGGTACATACATATCATAGGTCTTGCGGCAATAGCGCATAAAGAACGCTCGTTCTGGGTGCTTAGGTGTAGCAATGCGATGGCAATTTAATCCCTACAACTGAACGAATACAACTTCAAGCATCTCATCTTTGTAATAGGGGTCATTATTCTCTATACCCTCGTTCATGATTTATACTATTTTCCTAAGTGTCTAGATATTTCAGTACGCTTATACTACACTCTTCGACTCTTCGCACCTACGTCTCTTACACGATCTACTTCTTCCCACCTTTAGACGGCGCCGGCTCGGCGTCGTCCTTCTTGGTGCCCTGGCCGGCGAGGTACGCGGCCATGTCGAAGTTGCCCATGGGGTTGGCGCCGGGCTGGGCGCCGCCGCCCATTAGGCTGCTCATCGGGCTGCTCTTCTGCTGCTCTTCCCATTCGGCGCGCATTTCGGGGTCCACTGCGTAGTTGTTAGTTAGTTGGGTGGGTGGTTGGGGGATTTGTGTTGGAGAAAGGAGAAGGGAAATTGGGGTGAGGTGGACTTACTGTTCTCGATTAGCTTCGGCATGCCGATGAATAGGACCATGCTGACGAGGCCCATGAGGATCATGGGGTTCTTGAGGATGCTGAGGATGGAGACTATTTGACGGGTGTTATTAGCTTGGTTCAACAGCATATGTGGTTTGTACCTCTTTGCTTTTCTTTTCTTCTTCTCTTGTCGTTTTGCTCTCGTGGTTTGGGCCAGCTGGCTAGGTAGCTAGCCATCCCACACGATATCCTCCAGCAACAGCAATAAGAGTAGAAAATAGGAGGGAGACGAGAAAACAGCAGCAGAACGGAATACTCACAAGACCCCCTCTCGACGAAATACTCCTTCGGCCCCAGCGCCCTCACCGCGAACCCGCCACCGCTCCGCGGCACCTCCTGGCCCTTATTATCCCAGTCGTTGCCGCGGTACGTCTCCCAAGCGCGCACCACCAACCCCCCTTCTCCCTCTTCCCCTTCCCCTTCCCCCCCTCTCGCGTCCCCGTCGTCCGCGGGCGTATGCGGCAGCACGTCGATCCTCAGCGGCGCGAAGGCGTGCGTCGCGCTGTGCACGTCGGCTAGGTACGACCCGGGGGTCACGTTCCGGAAGACGAAGGAGCCGGCGGCGGTGAGGGGGGCGTCGTACGCGCGGCGCAGGGCGGACAGGGTCGCGTGCGTGGTGGGTGGGAGGATGTGCGGGTTGGGGAGGGTTTGCGAGGAGGGGATCCAGAGGGTGATGGTCGTTTGGGGTTGGTGGTGTGGTTTGTTAGAGGAGGAGGAGGAGGAGGAGGCGGCGGAGGGGCCGGCGAGGGCGGAGAGGGCGCCGAGGAAGGCGGTTGAGAGGGATATTTGCATTTTTTTTTTTGGCTGGTTTTTGACGATTTCTATGGTGGTGTTTGTTTAGGTGTGGCTTGATGGGGGAGTTGGTGGTCGGGAGTTGGGTTAGAGGTTGGCTTAGGTCTTGAAGCTGTGGAATTTCGAAGGCTACATATGATGATAGGTACTTGCGTTGTGAAGTACAGGGTACGTACCTCCATGTATGTAATACATATGTGGGGGCACGTCGTTGGGGAAGGATCTTGGCGTTAGCTATGGGAAAGTATAGCCGTGGCTTATACATATGTAGTGTTAGGGATGTCTCCGTTTATCAAATCCGAGATAAAGAAACTACTCGGTTTCTCTTCTAAATATGTTAATATTAATAATAAATCAAGGAAATATTTCTTTTCAAATGTTTATTTGATTCTTTACTCTTGCAGTTATATGAATAAGTGACTTGTCAACGTCATATCACAGCAATATCATATCTCCAATGAAACATTCAACTTCTCTTCTCACTAAAAGGAGAGACTTACTTATAATTTGCATGGGGGTATATTTATATGCTACTCAAAAAGCCTGTTCATATTTTTAACCTAGACCACTGTTGGTGCTTCCTTCTGCTTAGTCTCACCTCCAGATCCTGCCTCTTCTCCCTTCGTTGTCGCAGCAGAAGCCTTCTTGAAAGACTGCTCAAAGTCGGCAATGATGTCGTCAATATGCTCCGTGCCAACGGAAATGCGGATCAAATCCTCGGTTGTTCCGGAGGCGATCTTCTCTTCATCCGATAGCTGTTCGTGTGTCGTAGTCCAAGGGTGAATAGCTAGAGTCTTGGAATCTCCAACATTGGCGAGGTTGGAAATCAGCTTGAAGCCATCAACGATTTGGCTACCGGCAGCGCCGCCGCCCTTAACTCCGAAGCTAAGGACACCACCGAAACCCCTCTTCAAATACTTCTTGGCTAGTTCGTAGCTAGGATGGTTTTCCAATCCGGGGTACGATACCCAGCTCACGTAGGGACTAGACTCTAGGTACTTTGCGAGCGCGAGCGCGTTCTGCGCGTGCCTCTCGGCTCTCAAACTCAGCGTCTCGAGACCGAGGATGAGTTGTTGGGCGCCAAAGGGATTTAAGGAAGAGCCTAGATCACGTAGGATCTCAACTCTTACACGGATGGCAAAAGAAATAGGTCCGAAGGTCTCCCAGAACTTGAGGCCGTGGTATCCCTCTGACGGCTCAACAAACTGGGGGAACCGGGCCGCGTTCTTTCCCCAGTCGAACTTCCCACTATCGACGACAACACCAGCAATAGTTGTTCCGTGACCACCAATCCACTTGGTCGCCGAGTGGACAACGATGTCTGCGCCGTGGTCGATTGGCCTGACGAAGTAGCCTCCAGCTCCGAAAGTGTTGTCCACCTATTCACGTTAGCATTTAGTATATCTTAACATTGTAAGAGATTCGAGCTACTTACCACTACAGGGACACCTTTCTCGTGCGCAACCTTGGCAATGGCTTCGAAGTCCGGGACATTATACCGGGGGTTACCAATACTCTCGATATATACGGCCTTGGTCTTATCGTCGATGGCTGCGGCGAATTCCTCGGGCTTGTCGCTCTCGATGAACTTAGTCTTGATTCCGAGCCGCGCAATAAAAACCTTCAATTGGTTGTATGTACCACCGTAGAGGCTGGGAGTCGCGACAATGTTGTCGCCGGCATGAGCGAGGGCGGCGATAGCCATGAACTGGGCTGCCTGGCCGGACGAAGCTGCGACGGCAGCCACTCCGCCTTCCAGAGCAGCGATACGCTTCTCAAAGACATCGACGGTAGGCTATAGAGAGACTAGATTAGTATATGTTCAAATTACCGGACATGAGTGGCTACTGCTACTAACGTTCATGAGCCGGCTATATATGTTGCCAAATTCCTTGAGGCCAAATAGCCTCGCGCCGTGTGCCGAGTCATTAAAGACGAAGCTCTATTGTCTGAGTTAGCTTCCAATTCAGCTTAATGCTTTGCGCCTCGGGTTAACAGACAGTTGTGGCATATATAGGAACTGCGCGAGAATTCGTTGCCGAGTCCGGCTGTTGGCTACAACGGTGTTAGCCATTAACATCACCTCCAAGTTCCTATAGTATTCAGTAAGGTTCATACCCCGCGTGGAGTTGGAGAGTCTCAAAGTTCTTGCTTAATTCCTCCGCCATTGCGACTGGTTTTGAGTATGTTTAATATTTACGGATATGGAGGGGTCGTCTCTCGTGTAAGTGGGATAATATATGGACTTGGAGTGGTACCGAACCAGATATTGCAGTCCAGTGACTCCGAGAGGAGGGGATAGAGAAGTATTTGAATTCGCAAGCTACAAGACTTACTACAGGAAGAGTATCACTTGGCTAACTCATATGTAGATATATACTTGCTCATCATAAACGGATTCCCGACAGAGGTACCCTACCCGAATCGTCACTCTTAAGACCCTGTTTAGGGAATTGTGGAGTTGGGGTAAAAAGCACGCCATCGACTATCGCCTATAAGCTTGCTCTTGTAAGGCATTTTATCCCGGTTAGGATAGAGGGGTGATTAAGAGTAGAGTTGCGCGTATCTAGTTCTATTAGCGAGCTTGTACTTTGGCCGTGTAAGTCCGTGTAGTTCGGCGACCTCCCTGTACGATGGGACTTACTTTTATATTGAGAGCTTTTTGATTGGTTATACTTAATTGAATAGCCGGTGAGTCAGTCTTGTCTCCTTCCATCTTGTAATGGTTTTACTTAATAAATGTTCTCTAGCTACCTCCTAGGGAATTAACTTACTGTTTACTCCTGTCAAGGTATTGACTTACAAGCAATTGGGGCAAAAAAAGGGGGGGTTACCGCGGGGCATCCCACGCAAGCCGCTATGAGAAAGTACCTCCTACTAAAGCTGACGAGCTATGGCGGGGTATGTAAAACATCATCTTGTAGCTATATTGCGACAGATTTGGTATTCCCGCATCGGTAAATAGGGAGGATTCGGGGTAGGATTCCTGCATATGTAGCTACTGACTACGGTTAGGGTTATTAGTCCATCTAGATTTCATTAGGATAAGGCTTGCCGACATCGCTGTTTTAAATCCTAGCCCCTGACGAACAATACTCAAAGAACCAATCAACTCAAGTAACAGTGGTGGTATATTGAATTTAATCGTTCCCCTTTCGTAACACGGGTTCTACCATATGAGTTCCCTTTAGTTGTAATAACTATTATTTTTTCGAATAGTCCCTAAAACGCCCATCGAACCCTCCCGTGGACCATGGATATACTAATTGGCTAGTCATCTAGACCAAGCCTAAATTTCTGAATTCCCCAATCCTCTCATTCGTAACCCCCCCATTCCCAACCCCGAGATTTGCAGTTCTTATGACTGCAGGGTATAAGTATCCGAGCCTTTACCCATGTGCAAATAGACGTGATTCCAGCGCCCGATATCCTTTTGGTCCGCCTGGAAGTCGAGCGACGGCCGGTATGGCGAAAGAGGAATGTCCGTATAGCCGCGACTACCGACGGATAGCCCGCCGGAGCTTACGCGGCCGGGGCCTCCTTCATCTCGGATGACTTTAAAGGGCTCTGGGACTTGGCACCTCGCTTGGGGAGAAACCCCCCCTGGACTACCTCCTTTCCCGTAAAGATGGCGGAGGCGGTCCAGAGCAGGAACTCCATAGCACCGAAGGCGATGCTAGCCTGAGCTGAACCGCACACGCTGCCGCGGCAGAAGAGAAGCTTGCTCATGAAGACTGAGAGGGCGATGAAGCCGGCGAAGTGGAAGAGCGCATTGCTAGTCGTAAGGCCAAACGCAGCCATCGGGTGCGAAACTGATGATAAATTAGTCTTTGAATCACTCATAGTGGCTACCTTATTTCAGTATTGGTAACTTACTCTTAGGAACGAATCTCGGCGCTAGCTCAAGGTAGAGGACAGATACAATTGTGTATAGCGAAGCAAATAACAGCAAGTTGATCTGAGAGGGGGAAGTGGTCAATGTATCCACATTGTACCAGTGAGCAACTATCAAACTCATATTAGTCTCATCGTTCATATGGGATTTATAATATCCTCCATCATGTTAGACATACCGTAAGCTGTGAGGCCCAGTAGAATAATACCAAAGATGAGTTGTGCAGCTCGAATTGCCAAGAAAACTATATTTGAAGACATGTTGGCGGTAGAAAGTTTGGGTATACGGTTGGGAAAACGAGCGTCACGATGCGAAGTAGTCGTCATAAAATCGGTATTGTAATAATGAATTTGCGCCGGGAGGACAGGGCGAGTTATTTATTTGTACGAATAGCAAGAGCAAGGAACGACAGCGGCGGCAAAAAAAAGGAAGAATATAAAATATGCTAGAGAACGGAAGAGAGCACCAGGCACGGGAACAATACACAGCTTGTTGTTGTGGTAAAACAGGAAGAAGATCGAAGAGAGGAGAGAAAGAGCAGCAGCCAACAAAACCTAGCGATCATGCGACCTGGGGGAGGGGGGACATCGCTGGCTAATTATCAAGATTTCCGGAGTCTACAACTTAATCAGGGTGAATATGCTACAGGACCGTTGCACTGGAACGGCGGACTGAGCTGTGATCGCTGGGGGGGCGGCGATTTGCTAGGAGGCGACTGGCGACTCGCGAGACCACATGAAACGCCAGCGATCAGGGATGAGGCCTATGCGCTAGAGATTGGATGTCCCGAATGGGGATATGACTACGCTCGGAACGACCATTCCAGCCCAATCAACTGCCGAGTCGGTACGACCAGGGGAGGGTTCGCAATGCTGGGTTGAAGCTTAATACACGACAAGAGTTTTTTTCACGTTTCTGGTGTCGTTGTCGAACGAGAGCCGGATGCACGGACTTTGGGGGTTGTTTTGTAGATGGGGCACTCGATTTTTACATAGATTTATTACTGCGATGTTGGGAGTGCATACCTGACGTATATAAGGTAGGTATGTAAATATTCGTAACTATTTGCAGCCATCGCGGACTATAAGTGACTATTAATTTTAGATGTCTTGCATTCTACGTTATGTAATAGGGGACTCGAACCTTGAGCCTTGTCCGTGTTGGCGGTAAGGCGTAAAATAGTAGGGGCTTACAAGACAGCCGCCGGGCGCCTACATGCATAGTCACAACGGTGTCCCTGTAAAGCCAAACGTCCAACTATCCAACTGCGTACGTACTACATACCTCTTAAAGTAACACTCCGTCTATTTCAAGGCCTACGTAGGGATTATTTACACATACATACACTTAGACCAAATGTATATTTAATAATAACTAATAAAAAAGAAGACAACGATGAAAGCGCACAGAGACGTCGAAACATCGATCGTGGGGAAGAAGCCAAAAATAAACAAGAGCCTTGAAAACAAACCCAGGGTTTTCCGTGTCAGAAAATGGATCTGAATCTTAAGGCACGTCTTGGCTGCCCAAGCTATGTCGTGCAAGAGTTCGAGACTGGTCTCGAGTGCCGGCACGTACGCAGCCAAGAAAGACGTCTGGGATGTTGCTTGGAGTGTATGACTTGTGAATGTGTGATTATTTCTTCAGAGCATTCCGGTTTATTTTGGTGATGTATTGTGGTTGTTAGATGACTTTAGTATGAATGGATCTACATGAGAAGTAATTAAATATGTTCATACTACATTTTTCATCAAGAAACATATATAGGTAGGTAGTTATATTAGATCTCCATCGAGTCTCAATTGTTAGCATCTGCCTTGCTCCAGACTACATATATCAGCCTGGCTACTTCTGGAGACCTTCCCCGGAGTTGGTGGGGCCATTTCGGAGACCAAGTTTCCCTCCGAATAGAGATCCAATATTCATCCCGAGAAGTGGATTCCGGTGTACGGATCCGTAGGACAGCAATCGCGAATGCATCAAGACCTAAATCATGTGGCTATCTTCCCGTACTTCATGCAAAGGGCATTCTTCCAACATTGGTATGATGTCTTGGTATGATAATACTCTGTAAAATGTTACTTGCTTGGAAGTTGGTGAAGACTCGATATATTCTTAGATAGTATTGTTCTCTGCTTTAGCCACAAGGCACAAAAAGTTTGCATAATGATTGATCTCATATAACGCTTTAAAAGCAATCAGCAAATAATCTCACTTCACGCCCACAATCAAAATATAAAATGATAAGTGTTGAAGGTTATGGTGTTGTCACAAATAGCATATGGTAACTGTAAGTGGTATGTAGAGGTCTAAGTTATGGTTGCGCATAGCGCAACCCTTATATAGCTAGTTGATTACATAATAGCTGTGGCTAACGCCACAGCTCCCCATAGCCGTTGTGGTGGCTGTGCCACAACCACGGCTATCCACCCCGTGCGACAATAAGGTATTTAAAGGTTGACTTCAGAACTTAATTAAATAGCATTGTAAGCTCTTCTGCTTGCGACAAATAAAACTTAAGTATCAACGGCGTTAAATATACCAAGATATTTTTCAATTGCTTGCCCGGGATACTCTGATTGAATATCCCTATGGCGTGGTTGGAAAATTCCAAGTAACTCCTGGGAAATACCTATTCTTAGACATGTCTTCGAGTGCGATTCTAGAGCGTTCGGCTGTATCTCCCAACGATTTGCTAAATATGTCTCTGTCGGGATGTTTTTTTTTCGGTGCAGCTATTCGGCCCCGAATGCCGCAGACCGGCCGCGGGTTAATAAGCCTCACCAAGTCAGATGCCAAGTTGAAGGGGATTGAAATTCGGATGTTCAAAAAGTGGCTGAGACATGATGCATATGATGATTACCTATTCGTTACATTTGATATACTACCTAAGAGATTTTGAGTTGATATTTATGTTAGTTACTTTAAGCTGAAGATGTTGGGCTTCAGTAGGAGCGCTGTTGCTACCAATATGCTTAAATTACATGCAGAAAGAGCCGGCATGACTTGGGCAATGACGTCTGGTACCTTTCGAAGAAAGGAATAGGCATGCGTTAGGTTTGTCCAATAAGATCTGATCTATTCGGCAAATCCCCCATATTACTACTCCGAGGTCGAGGGGTCAGCCAATTAAATCACGCGCCTTCTGCAAACGCGAGTCCCCAGACCTCGGCTCAGTTGGGGGGAGGTTTGCTGGATTCATGCATTGGCAGGCCTAGCCCAGCACATGTCGAAAGCAACCACTTTGCAAAAGACCCTTAAAAAGCTGAGAGGAACGCCTTCCTTTATGTCAGGAGGATTTTAGTATAGCAATTGCACCTTCTACAACATACCGTCCTCTCCGACTCGGAAAGCTTAACGATTATTTCTTTTTCTTTGTCGGCGTACGTTAGAGACCTAGATACGCAGAGCTAGCGAGTTTCTTAGCTTATCAAGGCAGTAGTCTACGCGCTAACCCGTCTTTACTACCCACCTCGGTATCTATTCCTACTCCAAGTGGGTCACGGGCTTGAGTAGCAACTTCGGAATAAGGATTGCGATTAGACAGCCAGATCAGAATTTCCCCTTAAGTCCCTTTACATCTCTTCCTCCGTCATTAGGAGCTTATTTTCAACTTGCGACTCTCCTGTTCTGATTCATACCTACTATTTCTACCGTCAATTCGTCATACTACGCAACAAAGATGGCTGGAATAGGACCCGATCCGAAGATCGAAGCTTATATTAAGCAATTGTCGACGCCGCCTCCGCCCGGTTCACCTTATTCTCTACCTGTTCCTGGCACCGAGCGAGAGGGTCGATCTCCCATCTACAGGCACTGGCGATTTCATGATAAACCCTTACTTGACACCTTCACACCTGAAATACGTACATTTTACGAATTGTTCCAGGATTCCGTCAAGCGATATCCCAATAACAAATGTCTCGGTACACGACCTTGGATCCCGGAAACTCAGTCGTGGGAGAACGGCTACGTTTGGCAGACCTACGCCGAGGTCGCGGCGCGAAGCAAGAATTTCGGTTCTGGTATATATGAGCTTCATCGCCGAATTGGAATCCCGCCTGGCAACCATGGCGTTGGTATCTGGAGTCAGAACAGAGCCGAATGGCAAATAGCAGGTAAGAAGTTTTTACGCTTGAAACGGCTAGGAGGATCAAGGCTATTTTCGCGGCAGCATTTGCTAACATTATTTGACAAAAGATCTCGGATTGAGTTCCCAGTCGCTTTTCTCCGTCTCGCTATACGAAACTCTTGGTCCCGATGCGTCTGAATACATCATCAAGCATTCCGAACTTGCCTGTGTGGTTTCCTCGCTACCTCATATAGCAACCCTCCTCGCCCTTGCGCCCCGAATACCCTCCCTCAAGCTGATCATCTCCATGGATCCCCTGGACGCCGGAGAGCAGAACGGTTACTCTAAGAAAGCGCTGCTGAACGGCATCGCTGCGCAGCACGGAGTCCAGATATGGTCGCTCGCGGACGTCGAGGAGCTCGGGGCGAAGTTAGCTCACCCCCCTCGCCCCCCTCGCCCAGAAGACATCCTCACTATCAACTATACGTCTGGTACTACTGGCGATCCGAAGGGTGTGATGCTTACTCATGCCAACTGCGTTGCAGCGTGCGCGAGTGCTCGTTCCAGCGGATCTTACACTCACAAAGATATAAGCATTTCATACCTACCTCTGGCTCATATATATGGGCGCATGATAGATCAGTGCTCCTTAGCTTCTGGTTCCGCCGTCGGATATTTCCATGGAAATATGCTAGAGCTGGTTGACGACTTGAAGATTCTAAGACCTACCGGCTTCATATCGGTCCCTCGGTTGTTCAATCGATTCAGCCTAGGAATCAAGGCGCAGACCGTCGAAGCTGATGGTGTGAAAGGTGCTCTTTCACGGAGAGTCATAGAGACAAAGAAGGCTAATATGAAACTCCCGCCTGGCAAGGCATCCAACAAGCACCTCCTTTATGACCGGATATGGACTCCCAAGGTACGAGCCGCAATTGGCTTAGATCGATGTCGCTCCATGGTGAGTGGAAGCGCGCAACTCGACCCTGATGTTCACGAGTTCCTCCGAGCGGCCTTAGGGAACTTTTTCTGCCAGGGCTACGGTCTTACCGAATCGTATGCCGCAGGATCGTTCCAGCTTGAGGGCGATTATTCTCTGGGCAACGTAGGTGGCCCGATGCCTGGCATAGAAATATGCTTAGAGTCGCAACCCGAACTCGAATACCTCGTGACGGACAAGCCTAGGCCACGAGGAGAATTGTTGCTACGGGGTCCCTTTATTTTCCAAGGCTACTTAAAGAACGAGGAAGAGACCAAGAAGGCCTTAGAGCCCGATGGATGGTTCCACACGGGCGATATCGTCGAAATCGACGAACTCGGCCGGATCAAGATTATTGATCGCAAGAAGAACGTTCTCAAGTTATCTCAGGGAGAATATATCTCGCCCGAGCGTATCGAGAATGTGTTTATGGGTAGCTCGAACCTGATCGCTACCGCCTTCGTTCACGGCGAACCCAGCCAGTCGACCCTAGTTGGCATCTTTGGTGTGGATCCGGTTACATTCGGTCCGTTCGCCAGCAAGATCTTAAAGAAAACGGTAGCTTCCGATGATATTGAGGCTATTAAGGTGGCAGGCCAAGATCCTCGTGTAGTGAAGGCCTTTCTCAAGCATCTTGATGGCATTGCCAAGAGCCACAAGTTCAACGGATACGAGCGCGTGCGAAACTGTCTCCTCGACGTTGAACCGTTTACGGTGGATAACCAGCTCTTGACACCAACGTAAGTTCCTTAAAAATACATGTTTTTTCCTTATCCATGCTAATATTATAACTTTTAGTTTGAAACTCAAGAGACCCCAAACGGTGAAGAAGTTTAAAGACGAGATTGTCCGTATGTACGAGGAAATCAATGCGGAAACAGCTTCCGTTAGACCAAAGCTGTAATTCACGACCCGAACTTGCTTAAATATACTTTTCGCCAGCGATGTATTTAATTTGTATATATAAATAAAAACTTTATAGATTTATTTTAAATTTATTTAATTAACGTATATTAAATGTTTATATATAAAATATAAAATATAAAATTAATGTTTTAATAATATTTAATTTTAATTTAAATATAAATTATTATTTAATCGTTTTTAACTTGATTTAAAAATTAATAATATTAAATTTTTATTTTTAATCCGCCAATTTAATTATTATGTAATGCAACTAATTGCCGATTTCAGTTTACATTTTTGAATTGTTACTAGTGGAGACCAACGCCTACTCACGATGGCTAGGAACCCATCGAGGACCTCTTCTGGTCGAGGGGCTTCTATCGATTTAACTACTATTAATGATGAAGATGAAGATTATGTTGCCACAAGTTTAAACCGGCCTTATAGCTCGCCGCAAGAACGCCGTAAACGCCGTTGCTCTTCGCCTAACTCTCGTTCAAGAATTAACGCGTCGAACGCGCCAACTTCTACCCATATCGAATCTCGCTCTCGCTTCTTATCGACGTCGCCGCAAAACCCTCATAAAGCTGACAACCACCAGTCTAAACGCCAAAAACTATCGAATGGCACCGCCTATAAAGCAGCTTCCCCAATCCCGGACACAGAGGCATTGACAAAATGCTTGCAGATGCAGGTATTCCCACACCTCGACGCCGCCGTCAAGGAGCTGGATAAGAATATCTTCGACGTCGAAAAGCTCGGCGGGAAAATTATTAGTACGATCGCCGATGATGACTTCCAACTGCACTTCCACAAAGGCAACGGCCGTCTCCCTCCGAATATTGAGTCGTCTATTATTGGGCGCATTTATAAATTAGTAGCCGAATTAACGGCGGGAAATGTAAGTTTTCCCGTTCTCAATATTCCTTTCCAGGGTAGCACCTCTGACATCTTACAGGAATTCCGACACCGTCTTACTACTTGTGCGGCTTCGCAGTCGGCACTGGTGCCCGCTAAAGGGTCCATAGCAAAGACGATCCCGAGTATTCTTCCCTCTATCGAGAAGCCACCATCTGAGTTGGCGTCGAATCACAATGTCGAGGACGATACCGACGACTCGTACGACGACGATGCCTCGTGTAGCGATGAAGCGTATATTTGTGAAACCGAAGAGAAATTGAACGATATTATCGAAGAAGTTCTCCAGGAAATCCGGAAGTATCTCCAAACCCAGTCAAGAAAGAAACAGCTAGCTTCACCACGGCATTTACGACCAAAGTCAAAGATTACGCGTCCAAGCAAAAGCCACGAGCCCGATGGGAAAGATTCGCCCGCAAACGTGAACAACCGATGGTCCAACCTGTCCGATATACCATATCAAGCTTCAAAGTTTCGGGGTAAGATCAGATATGGATTAAGCCATGGTTGTCATATCAAGCTTCACTCATGCGACCTGCGCCATCCTACTGTTTACCACGTCGACTTCTACGATCTCGAGACCAAATATCTTCGATATGTGGCAAGGTCTCTATGTAACAGGGAGTCTACTAAAGCTAAGAGGTCAGACACCAAGGATTTACGCCATCTGATGAAGAAGTTTGGAGAGTTAAGAACTCTTATTCTCGAAGCTCATCGTCGCCGTTACGATCAATTTGATCCACCACCTTGGCTCCTACTGCAGCGTTCTATAGAAAGTCTTCAAAACTTCCTAAATGACGTACTTCACAAACAAGTGAACCTAGAGCCTATATTATTAACTTTCGCACGAGATGAGAGGAACAGTAAGAATGCGAATATTATCAAGAGAGCGAACGTTGTGCCACTATCACTATACGCAAGGGAGATGGCGGGCAACCGCCTCGGGGGTCTTAGGGTCTATCACTCCTATACCACGATATTCACGAGCAATAGAGAGGACTTCTTGGAGCCCAAGGTTGAATGGACCAACTGTGCCGGGGATATCATGACTATCAGCTGGCTGCCGGATGCTACACGCTTCGTCTGCGGCGCGACCACTCATTCCGACTCGCATAATCAACAGTATAATAAACCTGGCAACCTTCTATTCGGCGATGCGTCATTGAAGACATTAAGAGCGTATCCCGATCACCGTATACCCCGTCCGCTCGTTGCGCATGGCGACAATGCTTTGGAAGCAATGAGGGAAAGTCAAGATCCTTGGCTGTTCACGTCTGTGGTTTCGTCAGATTATGATCCCGTCTTTGACTTTGCGTTTACCTCAAGCTTCGACAATACGGTCAAGGTCTGGCACACAACTGAAGGGGCTATAGCACTTCGCGAAACGTGGTACCACGAGGGCCGCGTCAATTTCGTCGTGACGAATAAAAGTAAACACGGTAGTAAGGTCGCCACAGCCACCGATGTTCCTACAAGAGCAGTACGGGTTTATTATACGCAACGTGACAGGTCGGGCAATTACTCGCAAGCCTACAGATATAAAGAGTTCTCTTGTAAGCGAGTACATGGTGAAGACTACGTCCCCTCGGATAAATGGGCCTACTTCCCGTCCGCCATCCGCTGGGGAATAGACTCAAGCGTGAACCATCTCCTGCTGATCGGATACTCGCCAAGGAGCCTTAACAATGACGACAGTGAGATTCCTGAAGAGAAGCGTTCTACTGGAGAGCTCTGTTTATGGGATATGAATACATATACCGAGGTCAAGGTCAATAGTGCGGCTACTTCGAATGTATTCGAAGTTGTGTGGCATCCTTGTCGGCCAGGCTTTGCCGCGGCAACTTCGGCGTCACAGACCTCTGAGAAGCTAGAGGAGCATATTCGAACGCAGATTCGTATCTTTGAGTTGAACGAGGCGTCGGGCCAATATAGCGTCGTGAAAACACTCGATTGCCCTGCCATTGACATCAATGAGCTTGCAATCAGGTATGAACGCACTACCCCTACTAAGTTGCCTAACGTAAGGAGCTAACATTAGATATAGGCCCAACAGTATTCTATACTCGTACATCGCCGCCGGCTGTACTGACGGCAAAGCCTACGTCTGGGACTCGGCCGCGAGCGAGGACCAACCAATGTGTGTCCTCGAACATGGCGGTAAGCATCAAATTTTATACACGTATGAATCCGGAGATTAGGCTAATGATATATTAGATCCGGTTGAAGAAGTTATCGGAAACAGAGAGCAGGAAGATGTCGGAGTTAAGTTTATAGCGTGGGCCACATCCCCCGATCGTCTATATACAGGTTCATCCGACGGGTTTGTTAAGGTGTGGAATATACGACAGGGGAAGGGAGAGTTGGTGAGAGACCTTATCGAAGTGGCAGCACCCATCACAGCCGGTGCTTTCTCACCGGATTTTACCAAACTTCTTATTGGAGACGGTAGTGGACGAGTATATCTAATGGATATGGAAGACGATGAAGAGAATAACGGCCAGAATAACCCAGCCGCCACTTCTTTAGGGGTTGTCAACATGCAGGTCAACGGTAAGCAACGCGCAATCCGTCGGCCTCGCCCCTTTATTCCTCACCCTGAAGTCCCCCCTCCGAACCAGGATGGAAATGATGAATATTCAAACCAACCTCAATACCAACTGGGCCAGAGAAGAGCAATAGAATACTTGGAAACATCACACCTCGCTCTCCATCCTGACCCCACCATCGGCGCCGTTCAGGGCCCAGCGTACCCCGAAACAGGCCTCTACCGAGCAGAAGCTCATCTCAGCGGAGATCCCCAAGCACCGCTCCTAAGCGGATTCGAAAGCCTACAGCGGGCCAACCAGTCCTTCTCCCGAACAACTAGGTTCCGGAGACAGAGGAGCGTGGATGACATGGCGTGGGACTTGCAGGCGCGAAATGCGGCCGTAGATGCGGATGTTGAGGAGATGCTGGATCCGGATACCCGCTCTGCGCTTGAGGCTGAGGGGGCGGAGCTTGGGGAGGCGTTGGTGGGGTTTGAGTATGAAGATGAAGATGAAGATGAAGATGAAGAATGTGGCTACGATGCGGATGAGGAGTAAGTATTTGAAGTAAGCATCGTTGAGGTCTTGCGAAAGGAGGTGTAAATACGTAGGGTAAGGGATGAGGAATGAGCTTGTTGGCTTGGCTTGGCTTAATTAGCTAGGTAGCTATGCGTTAGGTACTCATGGACGGCGGAGGAAATTATAATATTATTAATTGCATTGTGAAACTTTTTCGTAAGGCTTTTTATTAAATTATAGTTCTACGTAAAATGAGTAGTAAGCTTTACTTACCTATAATTTCAGGGGAGTTTCTTTGTTAAGTTATGCGGCTAGTAAAACTTATGATTTCATTGATTTTGTAAATAATCTTCACTTTTGGTTTTATCATAGTCGGTCACGGTTTATAAAGTAACTTGCTTCCACTATTGTTCTTCGGCAACATTAACATATTTAACCTGGGCGGTTTACGGTGCAGCTATCGTCGGTTCACGAGAGCGAGATTTGCCGTTTCCTGGGTAGATCTTCCCGGACCGGTCCCGTACCCAAGAGGTATTTAAGGTACTGTAAACAAGCTAAGCTATGTATTTTCGGCTTCGTTCCGTCTCCGCTGTATAGTATGTGTTTGAGGTATAAGAAGCTAGTACGGCCACGATATTGCCGGTTGAAAATAGTCCGGACTTTTCATACCGTAGGTATAATATCATATTCACAGTACAGTACAGTACAGTACGCTAATTTCCCCTACTACCGCAAGCTCCCGCCCCGCCCGAGACAGTCCGAGATTACGAATCGATAGCTCGAAAGCCCGAGGCAAGTTACTTTTATACCTATTCCACATCACGTAGGTATCTAGATAAGTTCGAAAAGGGGGCCAGATAACCTGGTACCTAAAACAGCTATTGCGCATACTAGGTACCTAAGACAGCAGCTTGAAGAGGTAGGTAGGTAGGTAGGTAGTTACCATTATCACATGTACCTATACCGTCGGAGGATATCCAAACACGTCGCATTCTCGCCCATGCGCCCCCACCGAAGGAGCAGCGCCAAGAGGGACTACCTACCTACCTATCTACTTACCTTTATGTATTATATTTTATATTGCCAAATAACGGCCACGCCGCGAGCCGGGAGACGGTTGAATTAGTTACATGTGCTACATCTAGGTATGTAATATATAGTACGCAGAGAACGGGCTAGTAATTTATTTATTCTGTACTTCGTACAAGCCCCCGAGAAGGAATTAGTTATATTACCTACCGGCTGGAGTTGTCGAAACCCGCGTTAACCGCCGGCCTTTTACCGCTGCCCGTAGGTACTACGACGGTATGGAAACGTAAGTCTGCTTGTTTGTATGTATGTAGTTGGATCTATGGACGCGGTAGCTATACACTACCCATATGAATGAATGCAAGTACCTAATATATGTGGCGAATGTACGGGATATAAACTATAGGCTAAGCGAGCTCGAAGGACAACTTATAAGGCCTACATGCATGATGCAGTCAGTTTACCTGGTTACCATTTGAGCGACTCTACAATGTGACAGTATAGCGTAGCTACTACTCAATGATAAACGCCCTTTAATATAAGCTTGATGATGCTCACTCAGCAATATCCGACCATATACCTCGAGCCATGTCACAAGAGAGTCCAGTGTGCAAATTCGCAAACGTAACTTTCCGCAAGAAAATTATTCTCAATAACTATGAAGCTACCTGGCTTCAGAACCCTTCAGAGCAAGGAGTTGCCAAAAGTGCCGCCCCTTGCCTTTTTTTTTCTGTCCTTAACGCCTTCTCTGCTGAATACTATACATTATGCAATCTGTACCAACATTGTCTTGCTCGGTAGTGCAAGCCAATGCCAGAATCGCGAAGATGAAGAAAATGAATACAATGAATAGAACGCAACCTCCCCTGATGCAGCTGTCCATCGACCTATACTCGAAGTTGACTAACCTAGTATAATGTGACGTCAATATCAACGAGGACCTGCGCCTAACTAAAGGTCCTATGAGGCCCAACGGAGAATACCACCAACGCCGTTCCATGCTACGTGATTCGTAAAGTGGTTGCAGGTTGTACTATTGAAAATGATCTCCATCTGCAACCGTCCATTAGGATTATTCGGAGAGAAAATTTTGAGAATTCCCTAGAAGCCTAGTGGGTACCAAGACCCGGACACCAATTCAACCCAATTAATATCTTCCAAACCCATTTTCATTCGACCAATCCTACTGGTCGGCAGGAGGCGCTGGAAACGCAAATCCCGGCGGGAAGACGGGCATTCCGTTGGGTCCCGTTCCGATTCCGAAAGGAAATGCTGGGACAGCCGGTCCGGTGGTAAGTCCATTCCTGTCGGGTTGAACATCCTCTTGTCGCGGGTCCCGATTTCGTCGCCATCGAGTGAGGTCTCCTTCGTCGCTGTCGCCTGGACCACGGCTGGACTTTGGCCCGTGTCTTCCACCCTTGTCAGTCTGCATGCGTCGACTGATGGCCTTCGATGAGACGCCAGCACCAATCTCAATGTCTGGCTCCTCAACTACCATGCCTGACTCGATAGCACGGCCACCACTTCCACCATATTCAGCAGTCAACATCCACTTTCGGTCAGCCTCGGTCAATTTGCTGATAGGAATGACACTAATGCCTGTTTGGTAGTCACTGCAGTCACGAGGACCGAACCCTACTCCCCAACGAGTCTGTCTCTGTGTTAGCAGTGTAAGGCATGATAATAACTCTCGAGGTTACTTACACGAAAAGTGCTGCTCTCCATAGCCTCCTTAGCAGTAACAGCATCTCGGCGGGTGACCATCTTAACAAATGCATGACGCTTGTCTTTGTTGACGATGCAGGTCTGTACTTGACCATGGCGGTTGAAAACACTACGCAACTCGCTCTCAGGACAACTATGTACATTTGTTAGTTTGCAGTGCATTTCCTAGTGAATAGATATGTTACTTACGTGACACCTCCTACGAACAAAGTCCTACTCAAAACTAGAAATCGTGTTAGTGTATAGAGTTACAATAGATATACAAATTATTGTTATTTACCTTTGATGTGACCCTGGGGGATAGTCCTGTCAAACTCAACCCATTTAGCAGTCGGCTGGGGAAAGCCGTGTGCAGGACTTGGGCTACGACCACGGCGTCCAGGACTACGCTGTCGATACCCGGTGCCTCCTGTGCGTCCTAGACCAGGAGAGTTACGTCCATAGCTGCCATATTCACGATCAGAGCGACCACGGGGAGAATCACGCGCATCCCAATGACGCTGGGGCGAACGCGACCTCGACCGATTGCGATATCTATTTGGAGATCTCACTTGCTGAAATTCGTGGTCACGTGATTCGTCAGGTCGAAAGCCACCTTGACCCCACGAACCAGCATACGGAGGCTGACCTACCGGGGGCACTGCAGCTGGATTAGCAGCAGGGGGTGTAGACATACTGGTGCTCTGCATGCTAGCTATGATGGCTGGAATCTTATCGAACGGCACGCCCTGGTCGGCAAGAAGCTTGATCAACATAACTTGCTGCTGGACACTGGGGTCCATACCAGGAGTCGGTGCCGCAGGAACAGCAGAAGCTACACCTGGAAAGCCCGCGGCTTGATTACTAGCATTCACCTGAGGCACAGGGGTATGAACCTGAACTTGACCTGGTTGAGGGAACGGGTACTGCATGCCCGGTAGATTTACATGTTGCTGAGGTGGTGCTGAATAAGAAACAGGAGGCTGGCTTTGGGTTAGGGGAAGGATAGGAGGTTGAGTTGCACTTGTCTGTGCCGGCGGTACGCTGTACGCGCTAGCTTGAGCCTGAACATTGTTGTTGGTGGGCGTAGCTGTGACATTCTGTCGGGCTATGTTGGCGAGTGCCTCCATGATTGCGTTCGGAGCCTCGACAGCATGTGGCTTGTTCTCGGTCAAACCTGGTAAACCAGGGCCTGGAGGAGGACTGCCAACTGGTGTTGTGGATTCGTCTACAAGAACAAACAAGGGTCAGATAGGTGACCTCAAACAAATGCAAGAGACGGTGAAGAAGTGGGGGTTCTCTATTGTCAAAGTCAAATTCAGGATCGGGAAACCTACCTTTTGCAGCAAATGATTTCATCTTCTCTTTGAATGACTCGATCATGGACCGAGGAAATGTCTGGCCCTTCTCCCAGATATCAATGAGCTTTTTAATCTTATCCTATACGGAACGGTTAGGTAAGTACTTCTTTTAGGTCAATGTTGCAAAAAAGTGTCTTAGTCAGTTAAGCCCGTAGGCGCGCGAGCAGCAGCAAGCAGCAAGTTACCATGGCAATGGTAATAAAGATAGCCTAACCACTAGGAAATAGCACGACTAGATGTGGCTTATCCTAGGAGCATCGTGACCGAAGCAGATGCTATCGCCAAAACTACGAACTGTATGCGACGACGAATGTATGATAAAGCGTACCTTTTGTTCTCCGGGAGCGTTCTGAAAGATGTCATTCATAAGCACAGGAAGCAGTTCCGTTACTCTATGCACGCCAGCAGCGTAGGTTCCATCCTTTGCAGAACTATTGATAGGTTGACCTTGATGTTTGGCTTGGTCAACCCATTTGCGAGTTACGGAATCTACGACGTAGAGCACTCCTAACTTGTGAGTTGCGGGGGCTTTCTTGAAGTGGGTGTAGATCTTTTGGATGAGTACGGATTCCGACTGTGACGTAGATAACCAAATTAGCATCTATTCATATACGCGCCGATGCATCGACGTGCGCAGTTGTGCAGTCTAGTCTTACCTGGACGTTGTCGACACACAAGCTGGTCAATGCCACAATACGGGATTGGGTAACTCCGGGTGGTTTTAGATTTTGCATGGCATTCAAGCCAGCCTCAAGCTCTGTTACGGGCGACGACATGATTGCTCTAGGGCTCTCTTGAATACTTGGGGAGAACGGCAAGCACACAATGTACAGCGAGAACAGGCTCGCAGCACCTGTGGAATGATATACGATAGAGTCGCGATAGTCACCCAAGTATTAAGAGGGTTTATCTTGCTTCGTCTAGCTTTTCGGGCGATTACTTGTATTTCTTGCCGCGGCCTAACGAGTTACAGCCGTCAAAAGGCAAATCTAGGTAAAAGTCGATGATTTCCAAGTGTCTTTTTTCAAAGTAGTAATGATTGAACGAATGATGAAAATGTCCAGCGATGCCGAGTAATTTGATGCGACAGTGAGAAACACCACTAAAGCTTTTTG